CTGCTTGTACGAGTTTCACTACGAGTACATGGCGTCTCTTTACTGCGACAATTGCAAAATTATGTATACCGATACCGACAGTCTAATATACTTTCTACAATGCGAGAACGTATATCACGATATGAAACGCGATATATCCAAATTCGACACGAGCGATTATTCCGAGGACAACGTTTACGGTATACCGCGTGCGAACAAGAAGATACCGGATCTGATGAAGGATGAGAACAACGGCGCGATCATAACGGAATTTGTCGGACTGAGGGCGAAAATGTACGCGTTGAGAGTCACCGGACAAAAAGATACCAAAAAGGTTAAAGGTGTAAAGAAAAATGTAGTCGCTAGAACGATAACGTTCGACGATTACACTCGGTGTATCAACGACAAAATCGAGCTAACGCGGCGTCAATCGTGCATCCGCTCAAAGATGCACGAGGTGTACACCGTGTCGGAGTCGAAGCTCGCGCTCAGTCCGTACGATGATAAGCGGCACGTCGTATCCGATTCCACCGACACTCTACCATGGGGACATTACAAGATACAATTGTAAATAATACTTAGTAATTTATATAGTTTAATATTTTATGTATTATTGTCATTATTAGTTTTAAATGTATGTATTGTAACATGTTGTAGTAATAAAGAACATCATTGTATATAAATGTATAATAGTTTATTATAATGCAATGTGAAATATACATAGTTTATTACAATACATCGTCTTTATTTATCCAAGAATTACGCGAATTGTCGAATCCCAACCACTTTACAAACACCTTATCGTCCTTCGGCGCAACACCTTCTCCACGAGATAAACGTCGGGTTGAGCGGTCTTGAGCAATTCGTACTCGTAAAAGCCTCCCGTGACCGGATCTCCGCGATAATCTTTAATCAGATACGTCACAGGATTGGTACGTTGCACCGTGGCGATCTTAAACACCTCCGTCGACCAATTCGGCGTGTATCCTTTCTCGAATACAGTTTTGAATTTGCTCAGGCGCACCGGATTACCCATCCTGAATTTCGCCGGCGCGGCAATTTTTATATTACTGTACACGGTGCTCAAGAGTCCCTTTGCGATCTCGGGAGTGATATTGATCGGGCGCATACCGATTGTACGATGTTTACGACCGTTGTATTCCGAGACCAATCGCGGTAAATCGTCGATCCACTTGTACGCGATCCCGTGAGCGTAAAAAACTTCCACATTTCGTTCTTTAACGTGCGATTGAATCGTTCCACCACCGAAGCCTTTATGACCGAGTATGTCGAACAATGATTGATGCCGTGTTTCTTGACAAGATTTTGGAAATCTCTGTTGTAAAATTCTTTTCCATGGTCGGTCTGCAAATTTTTCGGAATTCTCTCCCTAAATATCGCGGAAAATGCTTTGGACGTTTCAATTCCACCTTTGATCTTTAAGGGCATGGCCCACGCGTACTTGCTCAACACATCGATAAAGGTTAGAATGTAGTTATAGCCGCCGTTGGATCGCGAGTATGACCTCATCTCGACAATGTCAGCCTGCCACAAATCATCGTATCTTTTCACGACGACTGGCCTACGCGTAAAGTTTCTTCTCGCCGGTGCGTGGAGCTCGTCCACGAGCAATCTTCTCTCCAGGCTCACCGCTTCCTTCTTGCTTATTGCGATTCGTTTTGCTTCTTCATTGCCTTATCGTAGTATTTGATGAAATTTTTTCTCATAGCCTTACGAAGATTGAGAATCTCTCGCTCGACAAGACTCTTCGTCTCTCGCTCGTAATCGACGAGTTTTCCATCGAGTCGCGCTACACTCTCGTCGAGGAGATCTCTCAGATCATGAATCTGTCGTTCCAACGTCACGTATCTGGTCTCGATGTAATCGTCGTGGTACCTCTTCCAGGTCCGCTCGGTATTCTCCGAATCTTTGAGTCGCGAAAGTACTTCTCGCTTAAAATTTTCATGGAGCATACGATCTCGATTCGCACGATCGCTCATAAGCTGGAAGTGATGATCCAGATGCAGCTTGTTGACGGCGTCGGTGTCCGCTTCAGGGTCGGCGAGATGTCTGATTACGCATGACTTGGCGTTGAAACCTCACCATCCTTGCAGAGACAATTCTCGCGCACGTAATTCTTCGAGACTCCGCCGCTCCACGATCCACGTCTCGTCACCCTGTCGCTTCCTTCTAGCTGTAGTCCAAATTTGTTGATAGACATTCCTGTAGCATCGCACGAGCGATACTGGTTACAGCGGTGACAACGACGATCAATTTATAATCAGACCAGCTTCGCGCAGTTCCTCGATAATCGAGAGAAACTCGTTGTCGTGCGCGTTGTTTCCCGCCTGACGGAAGGCGTCCAGCAATCGAAGACGATCCACCAATTCGTTCGGATCATCCCAGTGCACGTAATCGACCGCGTTGTCGGTCACAGTCATGGTCTGTGGTATGTTACACTTGGGTAACGTGCGACCCGCACCTCTCTTGTCGAAATGTGCAACACCTCCACCTTTCTTAGATATCAGAGGTGTGATGATATGTTTGTATTTGTATCCTTTGTTTCCCAAAATAGGTAAATGCGCGTTATGACCGCGTCTGTGAGCGTTAGTAGCGAGTAGTATGCTCTTGTACTTTTGTTTGTCATCCTCCGTACACAGTGTATCGTCGGGAAGTCTTTTAAATATTAATTCAAACAGGCCGGCGTGCCCGCGTATTTCACACCGTCCACAATCAAATTGTCGTCTCTATCAATGTCGAAGGCCTTGTCTCCGAGAAACGTTTCCGCATCGTTGAAGTATACGCCGTACACGTTGTCGATCCCTCTCTTCTTGTCACCGCTCAAGAGCTCCCCGATGTACTCTTGGCCTAGCGGACCCATTTGACCATACAGAGCTTCCTGGTTTTCGAACGTTTGCATCGTCTCTCGTAAGGATGTCACGAGAGACGGATCCGCGCTGTCGGTTTCATTCGACCTCATCGGGCTTTCAAACGCTAATTTTTGCGGTTGGAGCGAGGTATCCGGCTTTATTCGTTTACCCATTGGTATGGTGCTGTGCAGCACTGTGCTCCATCGCTTTCGATTCTTCTTCTTCAACTCCGGTGTAGATGGCTCTTCGATAGGATCATCGTTTCCGGTATTCTGAACGATTTGTTTCAACGGCTCTACGATCGGTTTCAACCGTTTCTCCAATTGCGCCTCTTGCTCCACTCTACCCGTCTTCAACGTCCAATGCTTCTTGCGAATCGACTCGCTCGTACGAACGATTTCCTTCGCGATCTTCTCCCTCTCGTCGATATCTTTTGTGTCGAACGTCATCGTCAACGTCTCGAGAACAACTAACCATTCTGCGGTACCGCAAACTCGTTAAAACCACGTCTGTATCGTCCATCGTTAATCGTACTATCCTTGTCTATCACTAAAAAACCGTACTTGTGCTGCCAACATGCGTGACACAATGTACTGAAATCTTCATACGTCATGTTCGTATTCACATGATCGTTGTAGACATGCTTAAGGTTTGTTCCATCCTGCTTGAATATTACGAGTAAATTCACGTTGTCGCGCACGAGATGTTTCGGTATTTTTGCATATGTTTGGCACAGATAGAAACAATCGACTTTCGAATGTCGACCCATAGCAAAGTACTCGCATATCACATTCTGCTTGTCGCACGCTATATCGTCAAAGACGAATACGGAATTCGGTAATGCCTCGCTGTGCGGTACAATTGTATTGTTGTCTGAGAATGTAAAGTAGCTGATTTCATCGATCGATCCGAGCAATCTTTCGAGATATCGATACTTTGGTTGATTCAATGATTTCGAGTACACGTACACGTTTTCGAAACGTACACCGTTCGGACTTTCCAGCAGACTAATCATTACATTGGTTTTACCGCAATTCGAGGGACCGTAAATGATACCGCGTATCGTGTTTGGCAACATTTTACCGTGTCTGCACGCCTTCTCACAAACCCCTTGCGTCTTATCATCTATGTTTTTCACACGGATCGTGTACGGTTGTTGTACAAATTTCTATTTTTTTTACCAGACTCTTTCTCATCCTTGTTATTACGCGACGAGTGCGCAGCATCGGTTGTTGGAAAGAGCGGTGCTCGGATATTTGTCGCTAGATCTAAAATATCTCTATTTCCATACATGATTCGGACATTATCCTGAAAAAAAATATTGTTTCAAACACACGATTATCGATACACGTTTGCGACATTCACCTCCTTCCGTTCTTTCTTATTATCCCGGTTATTCATTGTACGTTGTCGTCAGACAAACTTTGATATTCTACTAGTTAATGATCGATACGCGCCTCCTATTTATAGGTGAGCGCTGTCGAAACACACCTCAGTTGGAAATATGATTTACACGCGATACGTTAGAATTCACGCTCTATGAAACGATACAAGGGTGCCGGTTTACTGAACAGTGTGATAAATCGACTACCGTTGGAGCTGCATATACCCGGCTACCAATTTTGCGGGCCGGGGACTCGTCTGTGGAAACGACTCGCGCAAGGGGATCGAGGTATCAATCCGTTAGACGCGGCGTGTCGCGATCACGACATCGCGTACTCGCAAAACAGCGAATCAGCGGACCGCCACGCTGCCGATCGCGTTCTCGCCGATAAAGCGCGGGAACGGATCACCGCTGCGAACGCGACTCTCGGTGAGAGGGCCGCTGCTACCGCCGTATGGGCTGCTATGAAAGCAAAGACGAAATTGGGGATGGGTATGACAAAGAGAAAGAAGAAGACCAAGAGGAGAACGCTTCCGGCGGCAAAACGCGGTGGTATGTTACCGTTCTTACCGCTCTTGGGAGTCATCGGTTCGCTTGCCGGTGGAGCGGCGGGTGTTGCAAAGGTGGTGAATGACTCTAAGGCTGCGCGACGACAACTCGAAGAGATGAAACGTCACAATAAAGCTATGGAAGGACGGGGGATTTATCTCGCTTCGTACAAGCGGGCAAAGGATTGAAGAAAAAAAAACGTCGAAAAAATGATAGAGATGCCCGCGGGTGCACCCACTAATCTACAATTGTTTGCATTAGCGAGGCGTATGCGAATACCTTATTTCCGAGGTGTCTACATGCGTAACGCTTTACCCGACAAGATACATAAAAATGAGAGCGGTATCGTGAATTTGGACGATGTCGACGGGTCGGGCACGCATTGGGTGGCGTACGCCAAGAGAGGCGATCGCGCCGTATACTTTCACAGCTTTGGCAATTTGCAACCGCCGAAGGAGATTACACGCTACCTCGGAGGCACCGATACAACGATAACGTACAATCGCATAGCCTACCAGACGTACGATCAAACGATCTGCGGACATTTGTGCCTCCTGTTCCTCCGACATTTAAGAATCGATCCGCCATCGATCGACATCAGTCATCGATAGAATCTCGGCAATGTCGCTGACGCTCACTCTAAAGCCTCATCTACAATCAAGTCGGAAGACGCTTGTCGGATGTCGCTAGTCGTATGTCGCAACTGTTTGCTCAACGTACTAATCTACAATCAAGTTGTGTGTCGTTACGATGAGAAATCAATCTTAGAAGATTTAGAGGTTAAAGTTGTAAATATAAGTTGTGGATAAAATGGATATTACAGAATTGGTCGCAATTTATCATAATTTATTTATCAGTTACACACAAATTCAAAAAATACGAAGAATTTTAAAGGAGAAACGTAAAATCTCTCGAAGATGGTGGGTAAAACCTCATCTTTCCATGCAAATAAGACAGAATTTTGGAGCTCACCAGAAATTATTGCAATACTTCAAAACAAGTGATCATAAAGAATTTTTCAAATTTACAAGGATGTCTGTTGAACAATTTGACATGTTGCATAGTTTATTGGAACCAAAACTTAAAAAAGAAGTCATAGAACTCCTTTGGCGACAGAACTTCGTCTTGCTCTTATATTGAGGTTAATTAGAATTTATAATATTTATTAAAATTTACAATTTCCTTTTTTGGTAAATAAAGAACATTTAATTTAATAATTATTTTTTACTTTTAGTTATCTTGCGCACGGAGATAGTGCTGTAACCACAGCATGGCATTTTCGTGTAGAAAGATCAACTACTTACAGTATCATTCCTGAAGTATGTAAAGCAATATGGGACATTTTACAACCACTGTATCTGAGATACTCAAATGAAGAAAATGAGTGGATAAAAATAGCAAATGATTTTAATTCTCTTTGGAATTTTCCAAATTGCATAGGTGCTATTGACGGCAAGCACATAAAAATTAAAGCTCCTCCGAGGTCAGGCAGTACTTTTTATAATTATAAAGGCAGCTTTAGTTTAGTATTAATGGCTATTTGTGATAGTCACTATCGTTTCACATGGGTGGATATTGGCGATTACGGTAAATTAATTAAACTATTTAAAATTAATTAAAATTTTATATTTAATTTAATTATATATTATATTAATTATATATTACATTTATTAATTACATATGCACTTGTCTTTTAGGTTCACTGAACGATGCTGGTATCTGGTCTAAAACTGAAATGAGTATCGCATTGGAGAATAATACTGTGGCTTTACCACGAGAAGTTTATTTGCCACACACTAACGTTGCTGTACCCTTTGCTCTTGTTGGTAATGAAGGGTTTCCCTTAAAAACATACTTAATGCGACCATACGCCAGAAGAAATTTAGTTGATAATGAACAGCGCATATTTAATTATCGATTATCAAGAGCACGACGAATAATTGAAAATGCCTTTGGCATTCTTGTTGCAAGATGGCGAATTTTCCAAGGATCAATTTCTTTAAAACTAGAAAATGCGGAAGCAATTGTACAAGCGACATGTTGTCTTCATAATTTTATTATAAGCACAAAATCTTCAAATAACTTACATACAAGAAGATTTTGTAGATCGGGAAGGTCCCAATGGCGAACTTATCGAAGGCGGTTGGCGAAGTTTGATATCACAGCACTCTGCACTTAATCGAATGGGACGAATTGGTGCAAATATTGGTTCAATTACAGCAATGAGACAGCGTGACACTTTAGCCCAATACTTTGTTTCTGAAGGTAGCATCCCATGGCAGTGGGAAATGATATAAACAAATTAACAATTTTAACTCTCATTGCATCTTTGCTTGAGAACTACTTTTGATAACTCTTAAAACACAGTGCAAATAACATCAAACGTAATTATGACTATGCATTTAAAAATGGTACATAATATCTTTAAAAAAATTGTGTTAATAAATTATTGTATGAGAAAAAAATAAATAAAATTATAATCAATATTACTTTATTAATTTTGTACTCTTTTATTTATTTTTTTGACAATTTTATACTTTTTGGATTATTTTCTTAACAATCTAACTTATTTGGTGAAAAACTTATTCTCTAATTTTATAAAACTTATAAAGAACTAAACTCTCTAATTTTGTGAAAAAAACTTATTGACTAATTTTATACATTTTATACATATAATAATATACTTTTTAAATACATTTTAATAATATATTAATATACGCTTTAATAATAATCTTATAATTTTATATTAATCTCTTATTTCATCTCTTACTTCATATTTTTTAATGACTTGTAAAACCTCGATGATACATTGAGTTTTATTTTTTCCGGGAACATGTTTTAAACTTTCTTCTATTGCAAGCATATATCCATCTTTTTTTTTATTTGTTACATTAGTAATCAATGTTGATACGGTATTCATTGCATCAGATATTGCAACACCTGCTTCAGCAAGTTGCTCATCTAAATGGGCATTTTTCATTTTTTTCCGCTTCGCGAAATCATCTAATGGAGGCACAACTTTTTTTTGTATTGAAGTACATGAAGTCGTCAATGCTCTACAATTTTTAGGAGTTGAAGGAAGTGAGCTGGAACTACTGTAACTGTATACTGGAGTCAGACTGGCCACAGACTCAGGACGAGGTTGAACAGTACAGTCTGAAATGTTTAAAAAATTTAGATAATATTTTTTTGTTGTACGAATAACTAATTTAAAAAATTATTTTAAGTGTCTCATAATTGTTCCTCTATATTTTAATCTTAAATGTTATTCCTGTATATCTTAATCTTAAATATTACAATTTTTTAGTTTTTTGTCTCATCCATTGCAATTATTATTTAATTTATTAATCTATTTAATAATATAATCTATTTGTATCTAAAAGCTTAATGTAGAATGTCTTATGTATGATTGTTATTAAAATATATGTATTATTGATCATTATATCTTCAAAAGACATTATCAACTAAGCAATGAACAATGAATAATGACTGAATAATGACTGAATTTGATTTAGTCGACAATATCCTTTAAAGTTATTAACATATAATAATCAATAATACGTTTTAAATTGTAAACAATGATAAAAAATTACATTTTATCATAAAAACAATCATACATAAAATCATACTTTCTACACTAAGCTTTTAAATACCAATTTTATAAATTTGATTTACAAATTACTTTAACAATGATTGCTGATTTACCATAAGTGTTATCAATTTGTGAAGAAAACAGTTCCTGCGATGTTTCTTCCAGGATAGCACACTCTTTTAATTGTTCAACTTGCTGAGAACAGGATTCTTGTAAATATGTCAGCTGAGAGCTTGATGTTTCTTTCGGTTTTTTTATGAAAGATTTTTTTGTCCTAAGAATAATATGAAATCATTTATATTATAAGTGTAATACAAAAAGAAATATTTTAATTACTTACTTTCTGTGAGCAATATGCGATGATAAGAAGAGTAATGGCCGGTACAGGTACCACTCTTTACTTTCATTACTACTTGATCCTGATGGTGCCAATTTTTTTCTTCTTTCTTTGCGGCTAAACATGTCTCGAAGTGTTGACCATCGTTTCTCAACACTTTCAGCTTATATAAATAGACACGTAAATGATATTATTATATTACAGAAAAATATATTTAATAGATTTATATAATAAATTAATTTATATTGATTATATGTATATATTATATATTTACCTGACATATCCACATCATAGACATTTTTTAATTGAAAAGAAATAAGTTTCCATATATCCTTTTTTTTATTAGAATTTTTATAATTAACATCCGTTTTATCATAAATGCACTTATTGTCCTGAACGATATTTATAATAATTTCATCCACCGTTATTTCTCCCGCCATTGTTGTTGATATTGTCGTGTCGTTGTCGAAAAGATGAGACTTGACCATCTTCCGAGCGACAACGACGTCCGGCTTTCGACAAGAACTTTACGACAACCGACACTTAAATACGCATGCGTACGACATACGACACCGTCTTCCGACTGATTGTAGATGAGGCTTAAGCGGTAAAAGCAGCGTTCTCACGGTGGATTATTTTCCACCGATAGACTTGAGCGATGGGGACTACGAGCTCGGCCTAACCACGATGGAGACCTACAACACGATTCCAAAAGTGACAGTAGCGAACAATAAATTTTATTTCGATGACAATGACGAAGAAATTACAATTCCCGAAGGATCGTACAAATTGGACGCCATTGCTTCTTATCTGAAACGCGCGATACAAAAACGAGGAAAAAGTGAAGAGCAAGATTATCCATTGTCAATTCATCCCAACGTTAATACCATGAAGAGTGAAATCATGTGCGCTTTCCGTATAAATTTCGCCAAATCGAATACCATCGGACTATTGTTTGGATTTTCGACGGGTCGTATACTGGAACCGAGAAAGTGGCACAAATCAGACTCCTCGGTAAACATTGTCAACGTAAACATTATAAGAGTAGAATGCAGCATTACCGCGGGTGCGTACGCCAACGACAAGTCGGTGCACATGAAACACGAATTTTCACCGAACGTGCATCCGGGATATAAAGTCTCGGAAACACCGGCGCAAATCATTTACCTTCCGGTCATCGCAAGGAGCGTTACTGATATCACCTTGCGCGTGGTGGATCAAGAAGGACGATTGATTGACTTTTGCGGAGAGGAAATTACCATCAGACTGCACTTGCGACGACGTGGTGCGAGGAAATGCTCGTGTTGAACAAGCAGCGAGTGATTGAGAAAACAACGAAAATTGAGAAAAATCGCCAATCAAGAGGCTCAGTACGACGAACGTAAACTTTTTACAATCATTGGGATTTGTTGTGAGAAACGTTTAAAAAGATGGATATACTCGACATCGCTGACGAGCTCGTCTTCGACGAGCGTATCGTAAAATATGAGATGCACACGTACAATCCGTACGCTAACACAACGTTGGGACACAGCGACGAGATACGAATACCTATACAACAACAGGATTTATACACGTTGCTGTGTGAGAGTTTTCTCTACATTGAAGGAAAACTCGTTACTCCTGCCGATGAGAATAGAGATAACGTGTGTATAATGGGAAATAATTGTGTCGCGTTCATGTTTGATGAAATGCGATACGAGCTCGACGGAGTTGAAATCGATCGTAACAGAAACGTTGGAATAACGAGCACGATCAAAAACTATGTATCGCTGACGACGGAGAAGAGCAAGACGTTGAAATACGCATTGTGGAATCCGGATGGAAAAGATGGCGGGCAAACAAGATGGCGGATGTTGACAAGATGGCGGAAATTTTTATTTTTCCGAATTGAGAAAATCCAAACGGGGTTCGAACCTGGATCGCTGGATTTCTAGTCCTGGTCCTAGTCTGCTGGGCTACCTATAGATCTAATGAAGTAAGTCATAGGGTCGTATTTATGGCAGTCGCGGGATGACGCAAATTTTTTTTTTTTCCGAATTGAGAAAATCCAAACCGGGTTCGAACCTGGATCGCTGGGTTTCTAGTCTTGGTCCTAGTCCGCATGTCTACCTATAGATCTAATGAAGTAAGTCGTAGGGTCGTATTTATAGCTATGGGGCCTGGCAGGTATGGGGCATCAAAACAAGCGACGTCACGTAGTCGCCTCGCGAAGGGGTCGTATTTATGGTGGGGTTGCGTCTATATGAGGTACCCCGGACTCTCTGGCAGGTATGGGGCATCAAAACAAATGACGTCACACAGTCGCCTCGCGAAGGGTCGTATTTATGGTGAGGCCGCGTCTATATGAGGTACCCTGGACTCTCTGGCAGGTATGGGAAATATAAACAAACATCGCCAAGGTATCGGGCGGGGGATGATAGAACTACGGCCAAGAGACCTGTGAGCGGGCAAGTATGGGAGAACAAAAGAACGACATCACGGAGTCAAACGGTGGATTCTAATCTGCTAGACCGATATTCGACGAGATAGAGTGACGACTAAGGGGGCTCCTGTGCAAACGGTATAAAGCGTGCGCCGGTATAGCGAACAAAAGGACGCAACGACGAATGATCGGACGCCTTTTAGTCTGATATTTGGCATGCTGGTTAAGGTGGCAGCGATATCGCGTGAACGGAGTCAGCCACCCGTTTTCGCCGATTGAGAGCGCTGTATGGATTGGGGATGGCGAGTACAGGAACATACGAAAAGAGGAAGGAAACATACACGAGAAATGGAATACAAAATTGTTTATTTGGAATTTTTCTTAAGAATACATAATTGAATTGACAAAATAAAGTTCATACATTTTATGATTTTCAATAGAATCAAATATAATTATAAATGATAAAAGTATACATTAATGTATGAATTACAATTTTCGCTGAAATCTAATTATATGTACAATTTGATCGAAATAAAGAGCGATTAATTCTAAAATACAATTTCAAATTGATCATCGAGAAATGTTAAATCTTTTAGTTGCGTACGTACATTAGTTTGTATTTCGTGACAATTAGATTTGAACGCGAGTTTTATAATATCGTTTTCGATATAGCCCACGATAGGTAGTCTTATTTGTATTTCATTAATAAGATATTTAGCGCAATCATTGGCACTAGTGGTGATTATATTCAGTCGATTCAAATTAGCGTTTACACATTCGAGTATATTTTCTAGTCCCAGAAAACTAGCTCTCTGCATTGCTATAGCGAGCGAATAAGTCCGGCGTTTCTTCGGAACATGAATTTCTTTTTTAGTCGTGGTATTTTCCAAAGGTTGAACTTCTTGTCCGTTTTCTCGATATGTCAATAACAAAGCTCTTGCTCCATAAGCAGTGGTGAAATTTATAATTATCTTGTTGATAATAATCGAGTTCGCCGTAATACTATTTCCATTTAAGTAATCTGACATTTGCTTCATATTTTCTTGAAATTTTTGCCATTCCGCCATGTTGAAGCAAATACCATCGGCTCCCTTGGATGAAAATTTAACGAAAGGTTGAAAATCAAACTCGTCGCCGTTGATTGAAGTTTGCAGCCCAACATGAATTTTCTTCGTATAGGAAAAATTCAATCCATTTGTTGTAGATAATAGCATGCAATTCTGCACAATTTTTTCGGAGATGTCGCATCTTGCTTCGGAAGTGTCGCTGCACTTTGTCGGCTTTTCGGATTTTACAATTTCCTGGCGTTTATCCATGACACTGATTTTTATACGCAGACGCAAAACAAAAATACGAAAACTGAAACTTGTTCGCTGTTGAACTTGTAGGTTCGAATGCTAGGAGACGAATGAGAAAAATGTTACAATCTTCCACGTAACAGAAAATCGGAAAATGATGGGGGAAATTTGAACACATATAAACTTTTAGGCACTATGATTAGTCGCAAAGGCGACACATTAACAAATATTACTTTTCCGAATTCCCACGAAAATTCTACTAGATAAAGAAAGTTTTGAATTTTGTGTCGCAACATGTTACGGAATAAATTTTTATGATCTTACAACGGAAAAATTTTTGCTACCCTATTGTGGTTTTTACTACGTGATCGATATATAGAGGATTATTCTTATTCAATCAATAGAATTTCTACCCGTCGCGTAGTATTTCTTAACAAGTTAATCGTCGGAATTTTTATTACGTGTTCAATACTATAGGATTATTCTTACCCTGAATCAATCAACTTGATATTTTATTTTTTCCGAAGCAGCTTGCTCTCCTATCTTGAAGTATCGTTCGTTAAATAATAGGATTATCGTGAAAAGTACGACCGAAACGTTGTACGACGAAAGGACCTGGACAGTTGTCCAATTTCAAAGGAAGTGTAATAAAAATATTTGAAAACAATGCTTTTTTCCTAAATTTTCTCAAGGTGGGGGGAAAACTGGTATAAAACGGGAAGACGCTGAAAAATCACACAGTTTCACATTTTCTCGCGCATTCGGGATCATAGCGATCTGTATTTCCGTCTTCGTGTGATTTCACTGCGTATCGAAGCCACGTTGAATTAAAAATGTCTAGTTTGCGGGAAATTATCGAATCGTGTTTGCGATTGACGCGTAGTTTAAACGGGCTCTGCATCAATAATTATTTATCGTCATTATCCGACAACGACGATAATAATTATGTTGTATTCGCAAAGTTTGCGTGCCCTAGCGCGGTGCTCGTGGTTTTATTCCGTTTGGGGCATTTCTCGATTTACCTCCAGCTTTTGATTATTGCTGGCGAAATAATCGAGATGAGGCGTATGTTTAACGACAACGAAGAAGAGGATACGGGAGGCTATATCGCCGGCCTACTGAATTACTATCGTGGTGCGGTAAAAAATGGTAAGTTTCTATTTTTTATTATGAATATTTAAAAAAAATTAAAATCATTATTTTTTAGGAACGCTACAATGTCACGAGCCGAAAAAAATCATGGCGGTGGAGGATGTGGCGCGTGGCGTGCGTCAAAATTATGTCGAAGAGCGAGCTACTCAACGCCGCGGGGTAAGACGTCGAGCTGATACCTCGCCTGAGGCTGGATCTTCGTGTAAGTCTTTGTATACGTTATTTATATGAAATAAAATAACAGCATCGATTTAATATTAGGAAATTTTTCAAAAAATTTAATGTTTTAGCTCGCGCGCAAATTATTCTTACGCCGGAGCTTGTCGATCTTGTGGGCAACGAATCGACGAGTCAGCCGCCTCCTCGCGAAGTGAGCTCGTTCGATGAGAAGGAAATATTCAGTCCTTTGTACAGTAAGTAATAAGAAAAGTTATCTTAGCAGAAGCATAAAATAATTAAAAAATTTGAAAAATTAATAACGTAAATTTTTAGATAACGACCATCAACAGAGTGTAATATTACCCGGGGCTGACGAAGACGACAAAGTGGAAGAGCAGGAGGAAGAGCAAGAGCAGGAAGACGAAGAAGAAGAAGAGCAGGAGGAGGAAGAGCAGGAAGAGGAATTACAGGCTGAGGAGAGGAATTATGAAGGAGGGGATGAACAAAGCCACGAGCAAGACGGATGGGGAATGGATGACAGAGGTAAGAAAGATTGAAAATTTTTACAGTTGCTTTTATGCTCAAATTTTATTTTTTAAACATTAAAATTTTCACAGGATACAGACCCCCTGTGATTTCTTACTCTCCCGATTACAATTATCAAACGAGGGTGTAAAATAAAAAAGAAGAAAATCTAGAGGTGAGCTGATTTAACACTACAAATTTTTCGATTTTTATTGCAAATAAAATTCGAGCATGAAGATATAAAATATAATATTTTATCAAATTTTTTAATTAATTCGCTAATTTTTTAATTTTGACTTTTGCAGTTCAAACAGGTGGTGGTAGAGAAGAAGAGCCGGAGGAAACTCGGTCGGGCGTGGAATCGACTAGCGAAACCGATGACTTCGAAAGAGCGCCGCAGGAAGAGGAAAGAACGGAGGAGGAAACGAGGCGAGCGGAGGATATCGATGCAGCATTGTCGGCGGAAAGGCGTCGGAATAATAATCAGGTCGGCAATAATTTTAATTATATAGAATTGGTATCGGAAAACACGCGTAGGTTTAGAAATTTCGGGATAGAGGGTAGAGAAGCTAGATTCCGTATACTTCCGTTTCCCGAGGGAGGAGGGGAGGTTTACACACGATTGGAAAACGCGTTTCGCGTAATTCACTCTTACGCGATATTTTCATGCGTACCGGGAGATTATGTTGGATTGTCTTTCGACTCTCCGGCTCTTTCTCACGGCCCCGCTGGAATATCGTTCCGTCCGGCGAACGATTTGACTCCCGAGAACATTTGGAATCTCGTGAGTTTATTAACTCAAAGTTCAGGGGGGTTAAACGTAGCGCAAGAGTTTAATATCCGCATTTTTCGTATCACCCCTCCCGCGGGACGTGGATATAACGCTCTAGATATTGTTGGTAAACGTTCGATTTTAACAATAAACAACAGCGATAATCTGTGTTTTCCTCGCGCGCTCGTGACGGCGCAGATTTATAACGAGCGTGGAAATGTGCGTACGGGCAAGTTGCATGCGAGATGGCGGTGAGAACACGAAATTCGTCGTTGCAACGCGAACTTGCCCGCGAGTTGACGAAAAAAGTAGGTATCGCGATTCCGGAAGTCGGCTGCGGAATTAGGGAAATCGAACATTTCCAACAATATTTAGCCGCGGAAAATGTCGCGATAATAGTTTACAATTCCGACACTTTTGGTCGCGGGAAAAACTTTAAACCGTTATTCGACGGAACAGCGGTGCTAGCCTCTCTACATCAAGAACCTATATCTCGATTAAATATTTTATTTGTCGCCGAATCGCGTTATTATAGCGTTAAATTTAAGAGCCACTGCTGGAAGTAGAGGGTATTGCATTCCGTGCAACGTAGCTTATCGCAGTGACGCGAAAGGGCATCGATGCTCTAATAAATGTCCGCGTTGTAACATGGTTCCAACTTGCGAGAGATTTGAACATGAGCGAATACGCTGCACGGAATGTAATCGCGAATTTTTTAATCGCGCGTGCCTCGAGCGTCATCGCGCGCAAAAATCGTACGACGGGCATTCGCTCCAAAGCGTTTGTAGCGTTATACGATTTTGCAGCGAGTGCGGTCGTGTAATCGAACGAAAGAAACAGCACGAATGCGGCGCGGCTTTCTGTTTCACGTGTCGTTCTCACCAACCGCTAAATCATTATTGCTGCATGATGCCGATCAATCGAGCTTCGAGTAGCATCGCGGGTCGCTCTTCGGAAGAGCAATTCGAAGATCAAAATGAGGATAAACACGTGTCAAAAACAGAAAATCGCTCCGCATTCGTGTTTTACGATTTCAAAACACGACAGGATGAAACGCTTCGAGGTACCGCTAATGTAAAAATTCACGTGCCTACTCTCTGCGTCGCGCAGCAGATTTGCGAATCGTGCGCGGAAATAGAAGATATGTCGATGCGGTGTCGTTGGTGCGGTATCCGCGAATTTACATTTCGTCACGATCCCGTGATTAAAGAATTTGTAAATTTCGCGACGCGTCCGACGACATATTTAAAAAAAATAATTTGTATTGCTCATAACGCAAAATCGTTCGACACGCAATTTATCCTCCGATATTTAGTAGAAAGCGGTATTTCGACAGAACTTCGTGTAATTTTGAGCGGTACTAAAATCATAGTACTAACGGTAGGAAATACAAAATTTATCGACAGTGTTAATTGCCGATGCGGTTATCCGAATTACGAAAGGCTTTCGGGCTGGCGAATACTTTGGATAAAGGCGTCTTTCCGCATTTATTTAACACACTCGATAATCAATTCTATCTAGGACCGTTGCCGGGCGTCGAGTATTACTCTCCGGAAACTATGAATACGAAAGAACGCGAACAGTTTTTAGCATGGCACGACGAGTTAACCCAGGCAAATTATATTTTTGATTTTCAACTCGAGATATTGCGCTATTGTCGCAACGACGTGGATATTCTTAGATGAGCGTGCATGGCTTTTAGGAAAATTTTCCTGAGGCGCGGAAAAGTGTGCCCATTCGAGGAATGTACAACAATCGCTTCCACGTGTATGAGGGTTTTTAGAAAAAACTTTCTGCGTGAAAGCGAGATTGGTATAATTCCATCGGGTGGGTACAGACACGCGAATACGCAATCGCGCAAAGCACTGCGTTGGTTGGTGTGGATGGAGCGAGAGCTCGATCATCTCATTCACGCAGGGCGTACCAGCGAATATCGCGTACTCGACGGCACACTCGTCGACGGATATTACGAATCGTTAGAAAACGGCGTAACGCGACATCACGTGTTTCAATTTCACGGATGCTTTTGGCACGGTTGCCCGTCATGCTTTAGAATCAACCGCGACAGTAACCTCTTTGTAAACAGCAAACGTAGGGATACGATCGATTTGCGTTATGAGCATACCGTCGCAACGATATATCGTCTTCGAAAACGCGGATACACGGTGACGGAGAAATGGGAGTGCGATTTCGATCGTGCGATGGCTGTAAATAGCGTAATGCGGGAATAGTTACAGCACCATCAAATGGTTGAAAACGAACCGCTCAATCCGCGCGATGCGTTTTACGGCGGCCGTACGGGGAATGTCGCGACTCGATATGAAATTACGGGTACAGAGAAGATACGATACATCGATATATGTTCTCTGTATCCGTATGTTTTAAAAACGGGTACTTTTCCGATCGGACATCCCACGGTGTATGTCGGGGAGGAATGTTCGGTACTAATCGGAGAAGGCCCGAATTATAATTTCGACTCCGTCGAAGGCCTCGTACGTTACAAAGTACTCGCACCGCGCGATCTCTTTCACCCCGTGTTACCGTATCGCGTACGCGGAAAATTGTTATTCGCGTTGTGCCGCAGTTGCTGCGAAACATCTTCACGCAAAAATTGTACACACGTGCTTTCCGAACGTGAATTTACAGGTACATGGGTATCGTGCGAATTGCGCAAAGCGCTTGAAAAAGGTTATTTCGTGTCGGAGGTTAGCGAGATTTGGCAGTACAACGCAACACGCTACGATCACGGTACGCGGCAGGATGGGTTATTCGCCGAATATATTAATACATTTTTAAAATTGAAACAAGAAGCCAGCGGGTGGCCGAGTGAATGTACCGATGACGAGGTTAAAGAACGATATCTTCGCGATTACGAGGAAACCGAAGGTATCGTTCTCGAAAGTAACAATATCGCGAAAAATTCGGGATTATGTTCGGTCGCGAAGTTGTGTTTAAATTCTTTTTGGGGGAAATTCTGCCAACAACTCAACCTAACGAATACCGAAATCGTAAAAACTCAGCAACGATTAGCGAGTTTGCTCACAAGCCCCAAACACAAAATAACCGAAATACTGCCGGTAAACGAAGATGCGATGTATGTTTCATGGCGACTGCGGGAAGAGGCCGACGTTCCCTCGCCTCTTACCAACGTCGTTTTAGCGGCGTACACGACGGCGCTAGCGCGATTAGTGTTGTATAAATATTTAGAACGCTTAGATCGACGCGTTTTATATTATGATACCGATTCTTGCATTTATGTGAGCAGCGGTGATCCTTCCGAATACGAGCCGCGTACGGGTAATTTTTTGGGCGATATGACGAACGAACTCGAAAGCTATGGGTCCGGTAGTTACATCGAGGCGTTTGTATCCGGTGGCCCGAAATTTTATGCTTACGTTGTTCGCACACCGGAAGGACTCACGCACGAAGTTTGCAAAGTAAAGGGTATAACCCTAAACTTTGCAAACTCATGTTTAGTTAATTTTAATAGTATAAGAGAATTAATATTGCAAAAAGAGCGAGAGGAACGAGAAAAGGAAAGTGAAGAAGAAGAAGGAAAGTCACATCGATAAATCTACGTTTCAGAGCAATTCGGCGTACGGCTTTTCACGAGTTAATAACTTGCGACGAAGTGAAAGCTTGTACTCCTGTGCTATTGAAACGTAGATTTCTCAATAGTCGTTGTTCCGTTCCTTACGGTTACGCGATTCGATAATTTTTACAGAACTGTTCTTTCGCTCTTTCGCTGTCGATGGTTAGCGCGTGTTTTCCGACTTTATATAAATAGCTTTAAGTAGATTTATAAATTTTTGTAAAAGTATAAATAAAAAATTTTTTTTATTTAATTTAAGAAAATATTGTTAGTTTCAAATGTAAAATGTAAAATGTATAATTGTATAAAAACTATGTAAAAACTGAAAAATTTAAGAAATAAAAACGAATATTTTTAATTTTCTCAAATCATGTACTTTTATTCGTAAAAATAAATGTTTTCTCGCATAATTTTTCTTAAAGATTTTTCCCATTCTTCCTCCTAATACTTTCCCGTATTTCGTATAAAACCCTCATTTTGTTTTTCCGAGAAAAAAAGTGTTTTATCGCGCGAAGTAGCGTTTCCACTCTTGGACGCTGGCGCAAGCAATTTCGGTGGTTGCGCTTGTCCAGCGTCTCCGCGGACCGAATCAGCTTGTTCGAGTCCGCGAGTTGTACGGTAGCGCGAGCAAGCGGTCGCCGCCGCCGCCGCCGCCGCCGCCGCCATCAGTGGGCAGTAAGTTTATCGCGTCATAGTGTTTCGCTGATTTTTTCGTTTATGAAGGCGCGAGCGAACGGCGAAGGGTTCATTTCGCAAGATAGACATACGCTGGAAACATCCTTGGACGTCTATCGTCAGCGGTCCCACTGGATGCGGTAAAACGGTCTTTGTAAAAACTTTTCTCAAATATCTATCCGAAATGGCCGATGTTTCTTTCCAAAGAGTTTTATTTTATTACGCCGAATGGCAGGATGCTTATGGACAACTTCAATACGCGTTTGAGAAAAAAGAAAGGAACGCTGCAGGAGAAATAAAGAAAAATGCAATCGAGTTTCGCGAGGGATTGCCACAAGCGCATGATTATTCCCACGATCCTCTCACACCAAAGTTGGTGATAATCGACGATCTTATGAGAGAATCATCCTCGTGTGACGTCATCGTGGATTTTTTTACAAAGGATAGTCACCATAAGAATCTCAGCGTTATACTTATCACGCAAAATCTATTTCACCAGGGACGCTGTCAGCGCGACATATCGCTTAATACCAATTACATCGTCGTCTTCAAGAACCCGCGCGATCGCGCTCAAATTCGCCATCTCGCGCGACAGGTGTACCCCGATGACCCAAAGTTTCTAGAAGAAGCATACTTTGACACAACCTCGCGCCCCCAGGGATATTTATTACTCGATCTGAAACAATCGACTCCGGACAAATATCGATTTTGGACAAGCATCTTTCCCGACGATGCGTTGCGTTACGTCTACGTACCGCGCAGATCGTTCTCCAGCGTATAAAAAGTATGCACCATCGCTCGCGAGACGACAGTTGCGAGAGACTTTCTCACGATGAAAGAAGCTGCGTCGGACGGTGCAACGAAAACCGTTAGACGTTCGATCGGAAAAAGAAACGTTTGTCTTCTAGAGGCGCTGTGTCATCTGAACAAAAATACAACGCAGCTCCTTCCTGCGAACCGCGGACGAAAAATTTATTCGCTGTATTTGCGAATGCGTTTTCAACACGCTCAATGGTAACGTTGCGCTCGAACGGCGCGAAAAAAATCGTCTGAGCAAATACAAAACGACGCTACGTCGTATCGCGTCAAAGCGTGGAAATTGGAAGAATAAAAGAAAGCTATTGGTACAACGAGGTGGATTCTTATCCTATATTATCGTTCCTCTATTAGAGGCCTTATTTTCGCGAATCATAGACAAGGTGACGGCTTAAAACACAAGAGAGAAAATAATATCGAGTGTTATGGAAAGGGCGAAAAAAATGGTTTTAATTTCTACGGAAAATCTCGAGAGAATGCAGCGTCAATTGCATCAACCGACTACCGACTACGGCGCACCGCTCGTGGAAAACACACCGGACGAAAGCGTTAATAATAATAATAATAATAATTATAATTCCGTACGAACACCCGGAACCGCTCTATCCAGACTCGATGCGGAGATGAGTCGAATTCTTAATTCGCCCTATCCGAACGACGAAGCCGAGAGATGGAAGATGTACAAAGAGGCTCTTTGGCGATATCTTCACTTTGTACGAGTAGCACACGGACGACGAAATCAAGACGCGCGTAAACGCCGAGGAAGAAGAAGAGGAAGAAGACGCGATGGACACTTGCGAAGAAGAAGTACCGCCGAGCGATCTCTCATTCGCTCCGGGCTCTAGTCGTACGAGAAGCCTCCCGAAAGAACACGACGTGAGTCTCGGAGTGCTGAAAAGCGTCGAAAGAATAGTGGAAAGCGTACCGAAATCTTACCATGCCAAAGCTCACTTACTGACGAAACGCTTGCTCGATAAAGCATCGTCGACTAGAATTAACTGGGATGAGTACGGTGTCGTGACTATAGACGGTAACGTCGTAAAAGATTCAAATATCTCAAACCTGATAAACGAGGCGATGCGCGATAGAAAAACCGTGAAAGCCGCGGGAAGAGTTCAGTTCGCGCGATTACTTCACGACTTGAACATTCCCTCCGCACTAGTGAGAAATAAAAAATTATTAACAGTCGGTTCTTCGCAAAATATCGCGAAACTTACCGGTCCTGCGGCGAGTTCCACTCCTCAGAGAAACACGGATTCTCCACCAGCGAGACGCCTGTTCGAATGGAGTAAATTGGAATGACGGCCTTTCAAAATTGTACTACGATCCCGCGCATTATGCTGGCTATTTGGCTGTCGATAATCTGTTTCGCGCGGCGAATTTACCCCGTAACAATGTCGAGCGATGGCTCAAAGCGCAAGACGCCTACACGCTGCATCGTCCATTGCGACAGAAATTTCCGCGAATGCATTACAACGTAACGAATATCGACGATCTGTGGGAGGCAGATTTGATCGAACTCCGAAATCTCAAAAGTTACAACAAGGGATATTCGTATTTACTCGTGATTATCGATGTACTTAGTAAATACGTCTGGGTAGAACCATTGCGCGACAAAACGAGTTTTGTCCGTAATGTCGTATTTCGTAATTCCGTAATGAGAGCTTTTCAGAACGTGCTCTCGAGAAGTAACGGTCGCGCGCCCATATACCTACAAACGGACAAGGGTAAAAAATTTGTCGGGCGATCGCTACAAAAGTTTTTGGAAGAAAATGACATTCGTTTTCGCGTAGCCCGCAATCCGGATGTCAAAGCCGCCATCGTCGAGCGCTTCAACAGAACGTTGAAAGAACGAATGCGTTATTTTACGCATAAAAATACACGACGCTACATCGATGTTTTGCAGAATATCGTAAACGCCTATAATCACACCCGTCATTCGAGCATCAGAATGCAACCGTATACTGTTACGAGAGAAAATGCGCGTATCGCGCGTGAAAATATAACGCGCCGATGGAGGAGCAACGGCGAAGCGAACGAAAAACGCCGAAAGGCTAAATACCACGTCGGTGATCACGTTCGTATCAGTAGAGCAAAAGTCGTCTTCGAGAAAGGATCGAGGCGCGGTGGAGTGAGGAGATATTTCGAATTCATTGCATACTCGATTGGCGAAAACCACGTGTGTACGAGCTGAGCGATTTAGCGGGAGAAGTCATAGACGGCATTTTTTGCGAACAAGAATTGGCTCGGGTTGAAAAAACTTGCAGGAGGAGGAGTTTATCGTCGACCGTGTGATAAGAAGCCGGGGTCGCGGTAATAATAAGCAGGTGCTGGTTAGCTGGCGTGGTTATCCCAGTAAGTTTGATTCTTGGATCCCTGCTTCGAGTTTAACCCCGCTTGTTCAAAATGAGGACGGATCAATTTCTCTTGATTCTTCCCAGCAATAGCAGCATGCGTTATTTTCCGCACAATGCAACCACTTCCTTCACCACAGAATTACCTTAACCTATACACTTACACGGCGAATGGGAAGTCGCGCTTAACGAGATCCAATTTCCCACTACTTTTTTACACATAAACCACGTTGAAAATTTTATTAGATTCGTCGATATTGAAAATGGACACGAGACGAGGAAAAACGGGGCGCCGTTAACGTCGACGGAAGGCGTAATTCCGAATGGTATTTACAAAAATATCGAGGAACTTATCTCCGCTATTAATTCGGCTTGCAAAGATGCAAATTTGCATATTAATTTGAAACTAGAAGACGCTAGCGGCGGTAAAATCTTGTTCGACATTACATGCGATGAAAATAAATGCAATCTGATTCATCATATGAACGTTTCCGATAATCTTCTACGAATACTCGGCTGCGGCGGGGCTATACCAACGCCTAGCAATCGCCTAGAAATCGCATATTATACCACGCTCACTGCGACTAAACCTAATTCCAAAGATATTTTTACAGCACCTTTTATTAAACTCGGGTTTAAAACGGAACAAGGAGTGCGCGCTGGAAGTTTCTATACCGTCGAATCGCACGGATTGCTGCGCGGTATTCCCGATAAACTCTTTGTTTATTGCGATATTTGCGAACCTTATATAACCGGCGATGTGCAAACTCCACTTCTTCGAATAGTACCGGTCGAGCTGCAACATTACGGACATTATTACGCGTACGGCGCAAATCAAGTGAAACATTTCTCCGTCCCGCATTATATCCCATTACGACAAACGTATTTCCGCAGAATTGAAATAGATATAAGAGATCAATTCGGAAAAAGAATACCATTCCAATCGGGAACACTAACAGTGACGTTGCACTTTAGACGTTTCCAGTAAGAAAAAATTTGTCGGAAAAGCCGCTCGTTATGGCTAGACCGGAGGACCACGAATATTACGATAGCGGAGGTAGGAGCGGAGAAATCACGAGGGTTTTCGTCGGAGCACCCTATCAACGAGGACACGGAATCGGTAGTTTTCTCGGAG